AATTTTCTTGTGGCTATGAATAGGTTTCCGATCTACGACTGCTTATACTATATTTCATACCCGTCCCATTTTGGAGTGCGTCTATATTTATGAAACGCATTGTATGAAAGTAAAAAAAAACCGTCTCGAGATTTGCTCCAAATTCTGAGCGGCTCTCTTCGTTGCAGCCTCTGAAATTGATTAGGGAATAGGTTTGAGCCTAGGGACAAAATATACTGTTATGTACTTCGTTGCTCTCTCCTAAAGATTCCAGTACAGTATAAGCGTTTGCAATACGTCGTGATATGAGTGCATGAAACAGCCACTGTGTACCATGAGCTCGTGCTCTTGATACCGAAATAATGGTAATCACAGTCCTACGTCAAAGGCAGGCAAAGGCACATCCCGCAGTGAGTTCAAGTAGATCAGTCCATTCCGTGGGTAATATAGAGCTGTCCCTGTAGCAACAAGTGTCCCGTTCTTCCAGCTTGAAAGTGAGCCACTGCAGCTTTTCCCGAACCGCACTGACCGCTTCTAGTTTTCGTCATTCACAGAAAACAGCAATCTGCTCTATTTCATCCATGATGGTCTCTCGCCCATCCCCTCTTCTACGCGTTCAGAGTTTCGCATCTTAAAGTAGTCCAATTACAAAAGTGATTATGTCAAACTCTGGTACTTTTAACGGATTCGTTTCGCCTTTTCTTCACCGTCGAACCACATCGCACTCCCTGCTTCCATGTTAGTGTTCAAAAACTAGATAATTGACCGTGGGATGTGCCATGAAGTACTAATAGTAAGTGAGCCTCCGCTCCATCTGGTTGAGCACATTCGGAGGGTATAATTTCTAACAGAATTGTCAACGAAACAAATTTATTGACACAATAAGAATGGCCACAGTTGGCGGAACAAAGTTATTCCTCTGAGGTCTCGAGAAGCGCGGATGAGGTTTGACCTCGTCGACCGATTATAACGCCGGCATGACACCGTCATTCCGAAAGTAGTTGCTCATTTGTGGAACGTTGTGAAGTTGTGTGAGGTAATAGAGCTGATTCTCCTGAAATTGTTTAAGGATGAACATACAACCACAAACCAGCAACTGTTGTGTGCATGGCTTGAAACTTACCGGAACTTGCGCTCGATATGTCATCAGCAGGGGCGTCTTCATCATATCTAAGAGTTCCAAGTTTCGTTTGAACAGTGCCATCGAAGCTAAAGCAACATCGTATATTACAGGGTGTCACAAAATATTGCACCATATACGTTTCGTGGCTTGTAATATCTCCCAATTTAATGTATTATATTTTCAACTGGCCACACGCAATTTCCAGCCAGATCCATGTCTGTCATGAAATTCCCTAGCTCCTGGGGATCCGCCTGGAGAGACGGGTCAAGTGTGGGATGGGTGGGCAAGGTCTCACGAAGTACAAAACACACATCAGCTAAGCGGAGCCCCGCCCACAGTGGGCGTGGCGTGCATCGAAATGAGCTGTACTGACGACCAATTTCAAATTCAGTTACAAAACAACCTCGAGACGGGGCACAAAAGTGGGAAAAAGTGTGCATTGATAAGCCAGATTGAATCAAGGAGACCATCTCAAGTGGGAAGGACGCCTACAGAGCAGAAAAAATCGTGAAGGGAAGCAATGTCTAAGGTATTTCCAGCATACATGACGTGAGGCGGAGGCCCGCCCACAATGGGCGGAGCGTGTCTGAAGTGTACAGCGTTTTCTACAAGTCCTCATAATTCGGCTCCGAGAAGACTTAGAGAGCCGGAAAAAGGTGGATAGAGGTCGGAGAAGGAGGGGAGGCTAAATGTAATGGTGGGCTTGACTCGATCCTTGAGTTATGAATTGATGGCAAACCCCGCACGAAAGCGGGCGGGGTTTGCTATCAACTTATAACTCGATCCCAAGAAGTCCCAGAGACCGAGGAAAAAGGTTGTAGAGATCGACTATGAAAGGAAGGTAAGTATCAATAGGTCGGTGGGGCGTGCAGCAATGCGGGTGGAGTTATTTTTTAAACTTTATAACTCGGTTCCAAAAAGTCACAGAGACTGGGAAAAGTGGATGAGGTTGGTGAAGCGAAGGGCTATTAGGGGCAGGGTTGTTGCCAAACTTGCAACTCGGATCCAAGTGGTCCTGGAAACCGGGAAATGGTAGATAGAGGACGGCTATGGGAAGGAACTCCCAATGGTGGGTGGAGTATGCACCAAAACGGGCGCGGTTTGCCGCCAATTATATAAATCGCTCAGAGACAGTGCAGAGATCGGGTAAAATGTGGCATGTGGAAGCGATTGGCGACGAAGAAAAGGGTAGGTAGAAAAGGGTACCACGAAATCTATAAGTTGGTATAGAGGCAGTACAGAGACCGGGAAAAAGCAGTTGTTGACGAAGAAGGAGAGGTCAAAAGCCATTGGAGAATGGAGCGGATAGAATCTAGCTAAGAAGTCAAATATTCGTAGTGTATCGGGCCAAATTTAGGAACTTGCGGAAGAATACCATCCCATATCGCCGCAGAACTGTGGTGTGCGAACAAAGCGTGCTGCTCCAACTGGTATAAAAAGGTCCCCTAAGAATAGGTGGCAATGCTAGGACGTTACCACCCTGGGGTGGCTCGCAGAACTCTCGCCTCGGCAAAAGAAGATAGTTCGAACCGGGACCACACCCTCCTCGCCCCTTTCCTTGAATAATGGATCCAATATTAGGTTGGAAAGAAAGTCCTGCAACACTTTTTCAAATTTTTGATTTTAATTTTATCTTTTTTGTTTACAACTCCTGACCGGTCTTATATCTACCATGAGTGTCCACCACTTGTCTTCAACGCTCAGAAAATTTCTTGATGCTCCTTTGCCAAAACCCAGCGGAGTGCGGGTCGAGAAAGGAGGCGACCTCACTTTCGAGTTGGAGTTGATCGTCTAATTATTTCGTCATCAAGATGATGATTTAAGGTCCAGGATAGGTGGCAGTCATTTATAGCTCGACCAGGGGAATACGCTAAGAGGTAAGAAATCTTGCCGCAGCTCCAGAATTTCTTACCGGGCTCATTTCGGATCATGGTGATTCGCAATGTCATGAAAGAAATAAATATTGTCGCGGTACGAGGGCTCCTGACGAGCTGCCTCGGCCAGCTTCTGGAGTTCCGCAGCCTAGACCTCTACCTACACAATGGTGCCCATAACGAAGAATTTGTAGTGGAGCTTCTGTAAGAGCCCTACCTGTAATGGAGTGTGAGGGACGCTGCTGGCTTCTTATAAAAATATCAAAAGATCGAAAGCGCTGGTAAAGGTGAAACACGCTGTAGCGGTGAACGGCATGCCTATTGAAGCTATTGCAGATAGTGTTGGTCTTTGACACGAATCCATAGTTATGGAGACATTTGTACTAGACAGTGACTCGGAGTACGGATTTACTAGTGGTCGAGGTTTTTTGAATTTTCTTGGATAACTACTGACTGCAGCACTTATATCCACCTCGTGGATTAAAGCCTCGAGAATGCTCTACCATTTGTTAGTCATAAATGTTACCTATGAATTTTTCAAAAAAAAAGAAAATTTTAGAAAGAGTGTCGCAGAACTTTCTTTCCAACCTAATATAATATAATGAACAAATACTTACAGACTCCACAGACGAAAGCAGCAAGTAGTAAAACCATGAGCAGCTGCATTTTGTTTGAAGATCGGTGACTAGGCAAACTGAAAATGGGTGGTTGTTAAGATAATTTCACGGAGGACATTTGTTGTATACGCTCGTACGCGAAACAGTAATAAATCTCGTGCTCATAATCAACGTTTTAGGAGAAGCGGAGAATGCGAGAGAAGGAAGAGCTAGAGCACGCCCAGAAAAGGAAATCACTGCACACGTTTTCTGCCATAACTTATGCCAAACTTGATAAATTTAGTTAATTTTCTTTGACATGTGCATCAGTAATAATGAATAATGTTTCCAGGAATTCAAATTTGGGAAATTTGTTTTATTTTGGATACATGATCAATTTTTAGAATTTTCCAAACATGGCAAATGCTCACCTATTTTACACATCAACAAAATCACACCGTGAAATAACGAAATAGCACTATAACTCCTAATTACGATCTACTAATAAAGAAAAGCAAATAGGAAATAACTTCAGACCAAAGAAACTTAGAGAAACCGACTTAAAAGCGCCTCTTCTGAAGACTTTCAAAATAAAGTCATTCTAATAAAGTGAGTTTGATCTCCCTTCTGTTGGACTTCGCATGAGAACGGAGCATAGAAAAATCGAACTTTGGCATGAGTTAGGGCAAAAGCCGTCCGTTGTGATTTTTTAACGGCACTGAAGACATGTCGAGACACAAGACATATCGACGAGACTAAAAGAATGCCAAACCCGAGAATTGGAGGACCGGAGAATTGATGGATGGGACCACCTTCGGAAAAAGGTTGTTCATGCATTGAGTAGTCGGAATAGCTGGTTCACGATCAGTCGTGTGTTCTAGGCGTAATGTTCGCGGCTCTCCGTTTTTTCTATTCTTTCATATCCTTATTGTAACGTATATAGTCCTTTTTTGAATCCTCCGATTGACAAATATTTATCCCTTCTGTCAATTCTCGTGCCAATGGTAAGCACAGCTAAAGTCATCAGCACGTAACCAATCCTTTTCGTGGGTACTCCTATGTTCCACTCGGCCGAAAACGCTGGCTATACGCTCCGACCATGCTCACCACTTCCCGATCGAGAGCGTTGCGAGTAAAAGAAAAACGTCCAACCCTCCTCGTAAAAGCTGATGACAACTGCATTTCACGCGAGCAGCAAAAAACTTGAAAATCGCTTCTGATGAGTAGTTCAAAGAGAGAAAAATCACAGTGTGGCCGCCCTTGTGCTCGAGCGCCATCTTTCGGGATCATTTGAACGAAGCGGTTGCTTCAAAAAACGTATGTAATATGTAAAAGAATGTGAATTATTCAGAGGCTAAGGACTGTGAGATGTCTTTTGAGCAGAGGATGCAGCATTCGAATGGACAACGTCGTAAACGGCATGATTTAGCAATCCTTTTACCTCAGCCATAAACGAGTGGGTGGAGTCGTCGGAAGTGCCTTATGCTGAAATTTACCTCAAAGCAGAACCTCTTTACTACTGTCGGCTTTGCATCCTGCGTACTGAAGATACCCGATGCAAACGTCAAAAGTGGCTGTATAACTCTTTATTTACTTTAGTGATCTCTTCGAGGTGGTGAATACCACATTCTTGTAGCACACTTACATATTAGGCTAAGGTGCCGTTAATGTATGCCTGCGCCTCTCCTCTTCTGCGCACTCTCTCCTGTCCTTTCCTACTTGGCGCCCAGTCTCTCTTCGCCATGAGTATGTCCAATTCCCCAAAAGAGAAGCCTGCAGTTTTGATTATTTTGAAGGCTCCTCACGCTCCTCTCTTTTTTGAGTAGCAGGGCACTTTGATCCTTCACTTCTCTAATAGGCCGTTTAATAAATCTACGTTTATTTCACGCAAAATAGCGATATATTGGGTTTTAGAATGTGCTTTCAACCTTCAGCTACAGCAGTCACACCGGCATCAGCGAGCTACAATCGCAAGTCGCGTTCTTTGTATGATTCATTTACCAATTATGATAACAGCCGCTTTTGTTGTATATAGTAATTACTAACATGAACAATACCTTACACCATTACAGTATTGATTCCCCTTGTTACCGAGAGTAAACACGTGAAATTTATGTTATTTATGAAGCTTTGAAGTTTTTACGTCTAATGATAGCAACTAAGTTATTGATATATTATTGTACCAGTTTTGCTCCGCCCGCTATCGCGCGCATCACACGACAGGCTTTAGCGAAACTGGAGGACCCATGGAATATCAGCATGAGTCCTCCATTAACCACCTCACTATTGAATGTGTTAGACCTTTCCCAGTTTCGCTGAAGTCCATCGAATACGCGTGATAACGTCTGGAGCTGAACTGGCATATTTATCTCACAACTGTAAACATCCAGCATTCTTCTTGAATTCAGATAATTTAGCGGTGAATAGGATTGCTGTCAGTCTCAAAATGAAAATGAAATATGCCTATTTACATAAGTGAGGAGCTAAGGCTTATCATTTATTTACATTCACCATTATTTAGAACCCCGAAAGGATTAGCGGTTCAATGAGTCTGGGCTTTCTTGGTATTGCACTGGAAATGGAACTTATCATTTGCTGAAGACTTGTTTGAGTTTATGCAATCGACTTCTATCAAGTAAGCTGTCATATCGATACAATGTGCACGTACCACTACAAATAGAATTCGTAAGTAGGGACGCTCTAATGACAACGCGAGTTACGTGACGCAATTGGCGACTTTTGCGTTCTGACGCGCCTTATCAGCCCTTATCAGTTGCTATCGCGCTTTCAGTCATGTACCACCAACGCCCGTCCCACCCCACATTAACACTTGTAAGTATGGTTGCTCTGGTGTCAATGCGAGCCAGGTAACGGAATCGACGACTTTTGCGTTCTAACGCATCTTATCAGCCCTTATCAGTTGCTATCGCTTTCATCATGTACCACCAATGTCCCGGGACCACCCCACATAACACTTGTAAGTATAGACGCTCTAGTACCAATATGAACGACAAAACGAAATTGGCGATGCTCGCTTTCTAGCCCCTCTTATCAGCTATTATCAGTCGTTATCAGTTCCTATCACGTACCACTTGTGTCCCCATCCCACCCCCTATAACATATGTAAGAACCACTGCGCTATCGTTACTGTGACTCGAGCTATGAATTTCGTGACAAACACACACACAGACGTACTTAGCGAATTATATATAGTAGGATGGGTCAACAGAGAATAGCCTATGTATACTCGAGATCCGTAAGTTGGGGTAGGCGTGTCACCGGAAGTGACGTGTACTTGATAGAATCTATGTGGATAAGGGGCTTCCAATATACATCGCGAGATATCAGCAAAGCATGCTGGCAACGACTTATCCTACGCAACTTCTATCAAGTCCACGTCACTTCCGGTGACACGCCTACCCCAACTTTCGGATCTCGACTGTAGCTTCCAGTTGTGAAAGAAAATGAAAGAGGAGTCCCTAGTTGTGTTGCGTCAATTTGTCAAAAATGAGAAGATTTCATTGAAACCATTCTTAATTGATAATCTGATATGACTTAAATCTAAGAAAGCTCAGAAAGCAACCAATTTTAGCCAATCTCTAGCATCGCTCTAGCTTCAGGGATATTCTCTAGTTTTCCCTGTTGGATTCGTTTTCACTGAGAGGATCTCATTTGCTACTCATCCTATCGCAATTCGTCGCACACGTTCCCTTCAATGTGGGGCTTTTGGTCAAGAGGTGGGACGTCTTGTACCGGTAGGGGAGTCTCTTACACAAGAAAAAACCTCATTTATATCACTGCTACACTCTTCCCAAAATGGGCACCACTTCATCGAAAAGATGAACTAATTCTGAGAAAGACTTTATGCAGCTAAAGAAAAAAAACGTCATCAAAAACGGAGTTCACGAAAAAAGGCAGCCCAGTAGAAGTCAAGGTAAAGGGGTCAGTGGTGCAGAACAAAACTATGAAAAATAGAAAAAAAATCTGAAAAATATCGTGGAATGCTCCTTTGAGCTATTTTACTTTCTTTGAAACGTTGCTCAAGAAAAACGCAAAAAAAACTTTACATCAACATCAAAATGAGAAGTTCGCTCTAGATATGATTGCTGGCATCACAAGAGCTACTTCTTTTCTCTGACTTCGAACTGTTTAAAGACATGTGGAGCAAAAGGTAGATTGACTGGAAGATACACTGCGACGCATAATTATAGTTCCACCTACAAATTTCCCAAAAACTTGAATCTGGGGATGTTTTTGAAAAAGGCTCTACAGACAAATTGTGACACATATAAACGCGAATCTGAATATTAACACGGAAATCCAGTTTGAGAAAGCAACAATTTTTTATCCTCATTTTTTCGAAAATACCCGCTTTGCCTATGACGCAAAATCATAGTTCCACCACATGTTTCTCCGCTGCATTTTGCTTTTACCCAATCAAATTTTGAAATTATTACCCATTCAAGTTCCTTAGCTTATAGCAAAGGCAAAACCGCTGTCAGACTTCCGTAAAAGGAAAATCCTAGCAAAAGAGACGCAGGAATTGTCGAAGTGTCAGCTCACGCTGGAATTTGTCGGGGTGACTTCATAACGAACAAATTTCTCAAGGATGCTACAGGATATGATTCTGGGAGGAACCCTGATTACTATCCGACCGAGATAAGCGCCGTATCGTGAGAAAATAATACGACTTTATCCAGACGGGTACGGAAATCAAAACTTCTTCAAAAGTTAGTGTCTCAATGGAAGCAGTTTCACGTGTTTTACAACACGCTCGTGACAGTCCATGTCTGGAAAATAAGAAATACGCTTTTGTGAAAAGAAATCAGAGAGAAAAACGAGCCATTTTTCTTTGAAAGTTTCGCCAAGTTCGAGTGAAGCGGTGGCATTCTTTCATTTGTGATTTTTGATTTGCGTCTTTCTTTCTCTTAACGTTTTTCTTTCTCAGATAGGATTTTTACTTCGTAGCAAATATGTATGAAGCGGAGCTTTGCCGTTGATCAATCTCGCCTTGGGATGCGGCGCGCTTTATTAGGTCGTGAAGAAAGTTCTTGCGCTTTTCGACCTTGA